CCTCCAAGACCTCCCGCCACGGGCCAGGGGCGGCGCCGGAGGCGCCGCCAGGAGGGGCCGAGCGCCGATCCGGAAATTCGCGCGGACTTCCGAAAGTCGATGTTCATATCGTTCTTCCTTTTCTGACATAGGCAGTCTCCCCTCAGCCCTTCACTGCCAGCGAAGTCATGATGATTCAGTCGTGTGCGCAGCCAGCCTAGGAGCTCCTGGCTGGATCCGCTCGTCGGCCAAGCGATCACCTTTCAGCACGAGCTTCGTCATCCAGAGAGGTTGCCTCTGAAAGGCTACTCTTGGCACTGGACTCCTGCACCCGCAGAAAAATTGTCCAGGCGAAAGGCCCAACCATGTGCAGATACTTATGAGTAACGCGTTGTGGGTACCACTTTCGGTGGAGCTCTTTATGTGGCCACGAAGCGCGTGAGGGGTGTGTCGTAATGGGTTGGACTTGCGGCCGCGGGCATTGGTGTTTTCGGTGGAGCTCTCTATGCGGCCACGAAGAGCTGTACTGGGTGCGGGAGACGCATGCGGCCGCGGCCGCTGGCGCGTTCGGTGGAGCTTCCTATGAGGCCAGGAAGCGCTGTACTGGGTGAGGGAGACGCATGCGGCCGCGGCCGCTGGGGCCTATATGGCCACGAAGCGTTGTACGATGTAGGGGAAACGCATGCGAACGTCGCTTCTTGGGCCTTCGGTGGAGCTCCCTATGAGGCCACGAAGCGCTGTATTGGGCGGGGGGAGACGCATGCGAACGTTGCCTCTGGAGCTGTCGGTGGAGTTCCCTATGGGGCCACGAAGCGCTGTACTAGGTCGTGGAGCCGCATGCGAACGCCGCGTCTGGGGCCTTCGGTGGAGCTCCCTATGGGGCCACGCAGCGCTATACGATGTGGGGGAAACGCATGCGAACGTCGCTTTTGGAGCCTTCTTCGGTGGAGCTCCCTATGGGGTCACAAACGTTGTATTGGGCGGGGGGCACTCATGCGAACGTCGCCTCTGGGGCCTTCGGTGGAGCTCAATTTGGGGCCAGGAAACGTTGTAATGGGCGGCAGAGACGCATGCGGCCGCGGCCGCCGGGGCCTTCTGTGGAGCTAGTTCACTACATCCCCAGGGCGAAAGTTTTCCTTTTGGGCCGGGAACGACTTTCTCTTTCGGCGGATCCGATTTCCCTCCGCGCGAATCCTATTTCGGATTTTCTGGATCCGCGTCTGGTCCCAGCTTCAACGGCGGATCCGATTTTTACCGCTTTAGAATCTTATTTCAAAGCGGGGAACCGGAAGAAATCGGACCCGCGGACCCCGGAACCCGCCCGTGTTAAGATTCTACGGGGAAAGGGGGTTCGGTCATCAAGTTCCCAGGATGGGCCCTGCGCTGTCTCGCGCAACCCCGTCAACTTTCCGTGCGCGCGGGCACCACTCAACATGCATGCATCTCTCTCCTCCTGGTTGCAGCACGCATCTCGTCCAGACGCCGTCCGTTCGGCGGCGCCGATGTTATCTCGCGAACTCATCATCGCGAATTACACCTGAAGGGAAAAATGTTTGGTCCTGCGTAAGTATGTGGCCACGCAGCGCTGCACCGGGTGGGGGAGCCGCATGCACGTCGGCTCTGGGGCCTTCGGTGGAGTTCCCTATGGGGCCACGGAGCGATGTACTGGGCTGGGGAAACGCATGCGAACGTCGCCTCTGGGGCTTTCGGTGGCGTTCACTGCGGGGCCACGTGGGAGAGACGCACGCGAACGTCGCCTCTGGGGCCTTCTGTGTGGTTCCCCATGGGGGCACGAACAGTGTGAGGGATGTGCCGAAATGCTTGACATGCGGAGGGCAGAGGCAGGGGTGGGAGGAGGAAGGAGCGGGAGGAGGAGGAGGAGGAGGAGGAGAAGGAGGAGGAGGAGGAGGAACGCGGGGCGCTCTCTCTTCTTCAAAGCGCGGGTCCAACACCTCAGGATGGTTGGGAACAAACTGTAAAGATAAATGTTCGAGGGTCCGCGCGGATTTCTTGGATCGGCGTTGGGGACCCCCTGGCGCGCTCTGCGCAACAGGGAGGGGGGTCTGGACCCGATCCGGGAAATCCGCGCAGACCTTCGAAAGTTGTTTTCCTTGCCTAAGGGGTTCTTACTTGGTTAAAGGTTGGTGCCTCAGGGGGCTACTTTGCCCGTTGCTCGGAGACTCCTCGGGTTCCTCGTGTTCCTCGTTGCTCGGAGATTCCTCGGGCTCCTCGGGTTCGCCGGGTTCCAATGCCAAGCAATGCCGAGCAATGCCAAGCAACGCGACGCAATGCCAAGCAATGCCAAGCAAGGAGCCAAGCAATGCCAAGCAATGCCAAGCACTGCGCCCATGCAATAGGAAGCTTTTCCCTAATTGGGGTCGAGCCGGGTTCATGTCTAGTTATGTCGGTCATTTGTTCCTCTACTACTGTTGGCACGGGACTCCTACACTGGAACGGAGGAGCCTTTCATGTCCTCCGCCACGAATGCAAGCACATGCCTATGATGATTGCGGCGGCCTGAAGCTGTCCCAGCACCCTGCGCGCAGGAAATTGACTCAGCATGGCTGCTGCACCTGAGCGACGCCCCAAAAAACGGGCTCGACTGCGCCGACATTCGCGCGTAAGTTTCCCGCATAAGGTCGCCCATAAGCGCCCTCTTCCCAAACGTGGCCTGCCACCGGCCAGCGTAAGCCGCGGTGTAAGGTCGCTGTGTCATCTCGCGTAAGGCCTGCTTCTTTTCGCGGCTCATTTGTCCAAAGTAACGGATACCGTTGGGTTGTCACGTCTCGATGTGTTATTCAGGCCGCATGTCATTGCATGAGTTTGCCTATTGCAGGTCGGCTTGTGCGTTGTTCCTGGTTTGCCTGGCGACTATTCGATCTGCGATGTGGATGTGTCCCCCGTGGAATTTTGCGTGAAAAACATGTGAAACACATGCCCCCCCCCGTCCCCCACCCAACTTGAAGGCCCCACACCCCCGAACAACAAAAAATCCGGTTGGGGGGTGCACGGGTTCCATCGTGCTTCCTCGACGTTCCGCAGTGCCCCCCCCCACCGGACATCGACGAGCCCAACGGTGACCTCGGGTTGGGTGGGGGTGGTTTGGTAGGTAGTCCGCGTTCGAAATTTTGGGCCCCCCGGTCCCGATCCTGCCCGTCAAGGCCCCCAGCGCCTCGTCGCGGCCCCACAGGGTCGGGGAGGCCGCAGGGCCGCCCTGCGCCGCAGGCCGCTGGAGCCTCGAGCCCGCCTCCACAGGGCCAGCAGGCAGACGGCCGAGGAGCAGGCACGGCAGGCTGGGACGAGGATACCTTCAAGTCGGGCAGGTCGCTCTACAGGGGGGATCTTCAAAAGTAGTAAAAAAATGATGCGGGGATGCATTTTCCATTATTTTTAAACATTATTTTATTGGCACGTTCTGAGTATTTTTGATTTTTCGTCCAGAATCCGCCTGTAGGGGGACACGCCCGAACTACGGATACCTCCGTGCCAGAGCGTTCCGGAGCGCATTGAGAAGGCCGCGGCGCCCCACACATCCTCCAGAGCTGCCGCATCTCGGAGATTCTCGACTTATCCTCGGCCTGGCGTCGTCTTAAGCCAGGCGTACCTCGGCACAGCGGCCCCAGCGTTTCGAGCTTCCCGTCGATTCTCGGCAATACATGGCGAAGGGGAGGAGGAGGAGGAGGAGGAGGAGGAGGAGGAGGAGGATGAGGAGGAGGAGGACATCATCGGAGGACGCAAACGTAGAGGTACTCTGCGACGGAGGGCGAAAAAGAGCCGCCTGCTCTCCGCCTGGCTAGTGGAACTTGTCATCGAGTTGCAGTCTAATCATTTGCCGCAGAGCTGCTGACCATAAATTCGTGCACAGGGTGGCTCCAGAAGCCAACTTGGCAACGTCAACTGGCTTCGAGTCACGCGGAGGGAATGAAAAAGGCAGACGGTTGATGGATGAGCCAGGAGGGAGGCACGGGGAGGGGGGGAGAGGAAAGGGAAGGCGAAGAAGAGGAGGAATAGTGAGGAAGAGTGAGGAGGAGGAGGAGGAGGAGGAGGAGAAGAAGAAGAAGGTCCAGGGTAAACCCAAGGCTCATTAACGATGTTGCGATAAATTGCAATACACCCTCCCTCCAAGTTCTCCCTTCGCAAGCTCCTACATGTATTTAGTTTCACAGTGCGAACCTGCCAAAGCACCATTCCGTGCCGAAGCACCATTCCTGGGACTTCGACGCCGCGAATCGACGTTACTGGTATGACCTGAAGATTCCAACTCGTGCCAGAACACCATGTCGGGAACGTCAACACCGCGAATCAACATGACTGTCGCGCCCTGACAACCCTAAATCTTACCAGAACACCATGTCTGGAACGATAGCCATCATAATCTTTGACAGTGCTGTAAACTGTGAAGACAAATATGCGCGGAGTTAAGGCGAGAGCCATATTTTGAAAAGGAACCGCCCTCCATCCGTGAATCTTTCGCAAACCTTTAAGACATGTGCGCGGCGCTACGGCGAGAGCCACCTTTTGAAAACGGCCCGCCCTTCATCCGTGAAGCTTTCGCAAACTTGCAAGACGAATGTGAACGGCGCTAAGGCGAGAGCCACATGTTGAAAACGGCCCGCCCTCCATCCGTGAAGCTGTTGCAACATTTTGAGATGAATGTGCGTGGCGCTAAGACGAGAGCCACATTATGAAAACGACACACCCTCCATCCGTGAAGTTCTTGCGTTCCAATTTTCAGGACCATAACTGGTGAGGAAGTCTCAGGCGAAACGCCCAGCCCGCCCCACCGACCCGTCTCGGGGTGCGATAGGGAGAGTTACTATAAGGAAGAAGGATGGAGGAGGAGGAGGCGGAGGAGGGGGAGGAGGGGGAGGAGGAGGAGGAGGAGGAGGAGGAGGAGGAGGAGGAGGAGGAGGAGTGAGGAGGAGGAGGAGGAGGAGGAGGAGGAGGAGGAAGAGGAGGTGAGGAGGAGGGGACACCCGTCCGCATGGAGACTGCTGATGGGGTCACGGTCTGCTGGGAAGCAGGCGCCTGTGGCTGGTGGCCCTCCTGGGCAATGTGGGGCCTGGCCGCCTTGGCTGCGCGGTGGCGCCCTGCACAGCTCAGGGGAGGGGGGAGGGAGAGATGGGGAAGCGAAGCCGTCGAAGCTGCGGGGGGGCAGGGCAGTGTCAGCCCACGCGTGGGTCGCTCCAGGAAGGGCCTGGCCTTCGAGGACTCGAAGGAGTTGGCATCTCTTCCTCGACAGAAGGCGGCGGAAGGTCTGCGGGAGTAAGACGAGGGCGGCTCCGCTGGCGGAAGCCGGCGGAAGTAAAAGATGCCCCCCAAAGGGATGCGCAACACCATTTTTGTATCCAGGGTTCCACGTAGTGTTTACGGCCGTGCCAGTCTCAGGGAAGCCCTGGGGGGAATGCTCGCATCAACACACTGGACTCGACGCTGGCATCAAAACCGCGGAGCGAAAAAACGACGAGCATTCCTCGGTCCGAGCTGCTGGTGGACAGCCGAACATGCGACACAGTTCTTCAGTTGACCTGCCCATCGAGGAACCGCTTGTTCTTTGCCAGGGAACCTTGAGCTTCTTGGGCCCAAACGGGTTCGCAATGAGAGCCCCCAGGCAGGGCTTCCAACGTTGAAGTCCGTCGTAATCCTTGAGCTTCCAGGGTCTGGGCTTCTTGTGGAGGCTTCCTGCGGCCGAAGCCCTGCCGCGGGGCCGCACCTTCGCAGGAGGGCGGGGAGAGCGGGATGTTGATGGTGATGGTGACTTTGATGATGATGATGATGATGATGCTGATGCTGATGCTGATGCTGATGCTGATGCTGATGATGATGATGATGATGATGATGATGCTGATGCTGATGCTGATGCTGATGCTGATGCTGATGATGATTATGATGATGATGGTGATGGTGATGGTGATGGTGATGGTGATGACGATGGTGATGACGATTGTGATGGTGATGGTGACGGTGACGGTGATGATGATGATGATGATGATGATGATGATGATGATGATGATGATGATGATGATGATGATGATGATGATGATGATGATGATACTGATGCTGGTGATGATGATGCTGATGCTAATGACGATGGTGATGGGGATGGGGATGGGGATGGGGATGGTAGTGATGGTGTTGGTGATGGTGATGGTGACGGTGATGGTGATGATACTGATGATGATGCTGATTATGATGATGAAGATGATGCTGATGCTGATGCTGGTGATGATGATGCTGATGATGATGATGGTGGTGGTGGTGGCGGTGGTGATGCTGCTGACGATGATGATGGTGATGGTGACGCTGACGAATCTGATGATGGTGGTGGTGGTGGTGGTGGAACCGTCCTTGAAGTTTTTCGGATCAGGCATCAGCTTGTCTCAAATTTTCGCCCGCCTTGAGGTTGGCAGTGCGGCATAGACTTGATAAGTGTACGATGCTCATGATCAGAAGTCTTGCTCATGTGCAAGTTTGTTTAATTATCATCAGATCTGTTGAGCCGTCGAGTCAGAAAATAGGCTGTCGCTGCCCTCGCTTGTTCCTCGCCTTCACGGCCTCTAATGGGGCCTGCTGTTTGCTGGCACCTGGACGCTCCTGGCCCTGGTCGGGCTCGAGTCGGGCCCGTGCGGGCCCGCTCGTTTTTGCTCTCTCCCTTCTCTTTGTTCTCGCTGGGCCTGTCTATATCTGTGGCTGCAACCAGTGCCCATCATGTCCCCGCCAGCAGTCGGAATACTTCTCTTCATTCATGTGCGCCCTGGTCTCATTCCAATTACTCTCAACTAGTAAGGTTCGATCCTAGATGCCCGGCTTCCTGCCCTGAGTTCCTCCGTCGGCCCTGCGACCGCTACGGCGGGCGCAAACAGAGGCTGACACACTGATTCCTCCTCTCGTCTTCCTCCCTCCTCCTTCCCTGCCTCTTGGACGGTGTCGGGGCGACGACTGGAATGGGCATCGTCGTTCTTGTTGTAGCAGGTTCGTGCAGTGCCGACGCGGCAGCGACCCCGCCGCGGGCGTCCAAGGTTAAACGCCGCTGGTGGGCCCAGAATCGGCCAACATGGGACGATCTGGCGATCGAGAAGCCGCCGACCGTTCAAGGTTGAGCGATCCACGCGGTGTCAGGGACCGACGCCGCGGTCGTCACGGCAAGAATCTGCCATATTCTATGATGACCCCCAGGGGCGCGAAGATACCCGCACTTCGCGCGTCGCGGTCTGGGTCAAACAGGCTGCCCTCTTCCAAGGGGGCGGCGCCTGGGCGCGAGGGCGCGGAGATAACCGCGCCTCGTGGGGCGCGATGCGCGAAGTTCGGTGACGTAGTTGAACGATCCACGCGGTGCCTGGAACCAACGCCAGGGGTCGTCACGGCACGAACCTGCCGTGGAGGAGGAGGGGGAGGAGGAGCAGGTGCAGGAGGAGGAGGAGGAGGAGGAGGATAAAGGAGGAAATGAGAAAGAGGAAAGAGCCAGAGGAAGGAGGAGAAGAAGAAGGAGGAGCAAGAGGAGTATTGGGGACGATAGAGGAGGATAAACGAGGAGGAGGAAGAGAAGAAGGAGGAGGAGGAGGAGGAGGAACCGACGCCGGGTTTGTCACGGCACGAACCTCCCGCATTCTCAACAGTAATTCTTCGAGGGGCGCGTGGACGTGTAGCGCGAGGGCGCCGCCGACACCCGTGCCAGACGCCCGCGGCCGCAGCTGCGCCCCCCTCCTCCGCCCCTCGCTTCCGGTCCTCCTCGCTTACCAGCTTGAAACATCAGGGTCTTATCTGCCTTGATTTGATACGCCCGTTCTGAAATGCAACACGTGCCGTGTTCAATCCACGTGTTGAGCTCGGTGTCAACACGTTACGGGTTGCGTGTTGCGTATCGGAGCGGCTGGGATCAGGGTGGTTTCGCGGCAGGATTGATTCTGAATGCATTCCGCTGCGTTTTCCAAGACAACCAATGATGATGGAAGTCTTAGGACCTACCCGTAGAGGTCGGCATGTTGAAAAATGAACGGTGAACATTTCCATCCGTCTGAGCTGCAGGGCAGCCCACCTTGAGATGCACGTCCCTAGAGCCCGCCGTTTTTTTTTTATTCCCTGGCGATAACGGGCGTACCCAGGGGGCGGTAGGAGGGGAGGGGGCCAGTCACGTCACGATTCGCACGGGCGCCGTCCGGGAACGCACAGCTGTTTCCCACCACGGCGCCGGTGTGAATCTTGGCGTGACCAGGAGTGGGGGGAGGGGGGTGGTGGGGTCGGTCTCGAGCAACCGCAGGGGGTCTTTAATGCTGCCTGGCCCCCCCCCCTCAGCTTTCGGCTGGCAATGAAACTCGTCCTTCCCCTCCTCGTCCTTCCACTTTTCGCAAGTGGTAGGTGCAGCAGTAGGAGCAATAGTAGAAGACCCTTCTGGATTGCCACGGATACTTCAACGGGGCGCCAGTGCTTCCGATGGGCACCACTAACGGTCGGGATCTTCTGCTTGGCGCGTCGCCCCGCTGGTCCCAGCCCACCGCGCTTCGGCGCGACACGCTGACCACCACCTGCCCAGTTCCCGAGCGTCGACGTGCCGAGCCTTTCCCAGCCTCCGGAGCAACACGCTACCCGGGTGCAAGGCCGCGTGTCGCTATAGGGCTGCCACCGCGACACGCTGAGCAGAAGTTCTCGACCGTACCCGCGCCCCGGTGACATTATCCAGGTGCCGATCCTCGGGACTCCCCTCCCAGATTCTGCGGGCACATCCCCGGAATCATCACCGCCCTCGGCTTGTGAATGTCAGGGACAGGGATCTGCTCGGGGCTGGCTACCTGCTGCTGTCTCCCCTCCGCGTCCTGCGTCGGGACCTGCATTCACGATCTGACAGCTGGCACCCATACCTGTGTGACCCCTAGATATCTCGGGGTGGAATTCCGTGGGGGGCTGTGGGTGTGTTGTCGGACGGGTGTCCCAACTCGAACGGGAGCCCCCTTCGGAGTCTGACAACCCGCGCCTATTCTTGTCACGGTTTCACATCCCTGCCCCTTGCCCTTCCTTGTTTTTCCGCCCCTCTAGGTTTGCGTGTGTGTTGCTCTTTCATCATGTTTCTCGGATCTCTCGCGGCCAGCGTGGGCCCCATGACCCGGAGTGAGAGCCCCCCCCCCCGCGCGGTGGACGGGTGGGTGCCAGCACAACCAAGACGCTGGAACAAGGATCCGGTTTGGGCTCGGAAGGGGCTCGCTGTTCCGCAGGTTCTTCCGTGGCTGCTCCTCCACAGTCAAGACGCTGAAGCAGTGACCACTTCGGGTTCGGGAGGGGCTCTGGATCTCGGGCCATGCCTTAGATCTAGGTCGGGGAACCTCTTCGACGCCGAGGCTCGCCGTGGCCAGAGAAGCTCCTCGAGGGACTAGCGGGTGTCCGTAGCGGCCGGCTCAAGCGGCGCCGCTCGCCAGGGACGCCCTGGCCCCCGCCCCCCCCCTCCGGGGCAACGACAGGAGGGGATTGGCTCAGGGAGGCATCATCGATCCCCAATAGCCCATTCGTCGCCGATAGAGGCCTGCAAGCCCGCCCCGCCCAGAAACGCGCGGTCTCGCCATGGGGGGCCTTTCGCCGATCCATCGGCGATGCATTGCCGATTCAAGCCGGACCCTCTGAGCTGGCCCCCCGTATCGTTCCCCCTCAACTCCATCTGGCTGATGTCGCAGTGGGGGGGGGCGGGAAGGACTGTGTCGGGGCCACCGTAGCTGCAGCGGCCGCCGTGGCGTGCCACCAGCCGCGCGCCGCCTTCTGGGCCTGCGGGCTGGCAGACAGCGCACTGGTCTGGAGCCAGAGCGGCCACGCTGTCCTGAGGTGTGGCCAGCGCCGCCGCGGAGGATGCTGAACTTGTCGCGCGCGTCCTTGGACGACGCGGTGAAAGCAGCGGTCACTTTCTCGGACCGCACGCTGCTCCGTGGCACAAGCGTCTTCAAGGTTCTCAGACGCGGGGGCAGCGTGCTGCGTAACAGCAGCGGAAGCGAGACAACCTACGCTATGTCCAGATTCGTGAAGCAGATCGATGTCTTCATCTCGCACAATTGGTCCACTCCGAAGTCGGTGAAGTTCAGGGCCCTGGCATTTACATTCAACTTGCTGTGGTGCTTATCCTTCAGCCTGATCCTCGGCGTGATCTTCATGACCCTACAGGCCTTCGGCCTCCTACCAACGCTGGACATGACGTACAACAACGGCCATCGTTACAAGAGTTCTCCATACAACATGTTGGTTGGTACCAGCTTCTTCTTGGTTACCATCTTCACCTGGCACGACCTGTGCGCACTGCTGGGACTTCTGGGGCCGACGGCGTTCCTCGACAAAACGTGCATCGATCAGGTAGACGAGGAGCGCAAGCTGAAGGGCATTTCGAGTCTGGCCGCCTTCATCCGCCATTCCAACACGATGGTGGTGGTCTACAGCGATACTTACTTGTGCAAGCTCTGGACCGTCTACGAGTTGGCTTGCTTCATGACCTTGAAGCCAACGTACAGGCTGGTGGTAGTGCCGATCATCCTTGCGGACGTAGTTTTCATGGGCGTCATTTTGTTCTTGATCGCCCGCGTGCTGGACATGATCTCGAACATGAATCTGGTGCACTCGGCACTTGGGATCGAGAGCTTCGGCGTAGCCACCTACGTGGTGTACACCGCGCTAGTTGTCCCGCCTGGCACGATGTTTTGCAAGATATGGCGCAAGTGGATGAACGAGCTGTCCCATATCTACGAGCAGGCCACGAGCTTCAGCGTCTACAGGGCTGAGTGCTTCCACGAGGGAGACCGGCCACTGCTCTACGCCAGCATTGCCAAGTTCATGAGGGCCATCGGCCTGGTCCCCAAAGACGCACCTGAGGAGGCGGCGCTGGCGGCCTTCGATAAGAAGGTGCAACTCGAGGTGCCTTACGCGCTGCAAGTCTCGATAGGCCGGGTGGGCATCCGCTACAGGCACGCGTGCGTCATGTTCCTGCCGTTCTTCTCGAAGAAGGAAAGCGGCCTAAACATAAACGTGCGGATCGTCGCGTGGATTTCGTGAATCTACGCTGGAGTTCCTTGGCCGCTCCTCCAACGCCGCCCCTGGCGCCATCCGCGCGCCAGGGATCGAGGCTCAGCGCAGATCGAAGAAGTCCGCGCGCACGTCCGACAGTTTATATTCATAGCATGCTTTCTTCCTCGATCTTCCTCGACCTCGGGGACAGCGTCGGGATCGAGCTCAACGAGGGCGAGACGGCGCGGCATCTCCTGCTGCGCCTCGTCCTGGGCCTCACGTCCTACCTGGCTATGTACCCCGTGCTGATGGCGTTGGTGTCCTGTCTCATGTGGGCGTCGCTGACGCTGCAGAGGCGTCGAAGACGTCAGCTCGAGGGAGATCAGTCGGCATACGCACTAGCTTTCGGAGGTGCGCGCGGATCTCTTCGGTCGGCGAGGGCCTCCCCTCCAAGCGCGCGGAGCGCGCCCAGGAGCAGTGCCAGAGGCCCCGCCAGAGGGGCCCAGCGCCGACCCAAGGCACCCGCGAGTACCTCCGACAGTTTATGCTTACGTAGGGTCAGGATATTTGGTCCACCACGCCTCGGCGCGACACGCTAACCACGTCCACATTTCCAAGCGTCAAGGCCCCGACTTTTTTCCTTGGCGCCCGGGGCGGTGCCGGAGGCGCCGCCAGGGGGCTCAAGCGCAGATCCACAAATCAGCGCGGAGCTCGAAAGTTGAGATTGCCCCGAGCAAAATCTCTGCAAGGGGTCGTTCTTCTCCGAACAGTACTTGCACGTAGGGGTTCTCAAGACCTTGCCTTTCTCAGGTACTGGGCCTGCGGGCCGCTCTGGCCCTCTGGCCGCCATGTGGCCGCCGTCGCCGCCTCGTCGCCGCCCGCCGCCTGGTCCTGCGGCCCTCTGGCCGCCATGCGGCCACCGTCGCCGCCTCGTCGCCCGCCACCTCGTCGCCGCCATCTTTGCATTGCTTGGCATTGCTTGGCATTGCTGGTTTTTGTTGCTTGACATTGCTTGGCATTGCTTTGCGCTGCTCTGCGTTACGTTACATTGCCTTGCGTTGCTTTGCCTTGCTTTGCGCCATGGTATTGGAATCGCACGCATTCAACCGCATTGCATTGCTGTGCTTTGCATCGATTTGCATGTTGTTTTGCATTGCTTTGCCAGCTGGCTGTGGGTTGCCCTGAGTGACGCCGACAGCGGCAGGTGGAGCTGCTCCAACACCCGGGTGGCTGGCGCAGAGTCATGTGGGGTACGGAGTCACCCTTTCTGCGCCAGCGATTGCTGGCCACCCTCAGCTTAGGCCGAGGTAGAAGCTTCTCCTCTGCCGGGTGTGCCTTTGGATCATCGTCCTGTCGTAGGCCTGCCAGGTGCAGCAGCACCGCCCAGGTTGCGGTGCAGACGTAGTTCGTGGGATCCAGCCCCAGCTCCAGGTCGTACAGAAAACCGTCGTGGCTGAGTAGCTTCCTGCAGTGATCCGCCAGGTCCCGGGGCACGTCGCCTGGCCCGTACATGTGCGGGTGGAGGCTCATGACGTAGAGGAGGACTGGGGCGAAGCCTGGGTCCGTCAGTAGCCCGGTTCCCGCGTTCTGCAGATCCTCTGCCAGGGCGTCCCAGTCGTGGTTGTTGGGCAGCGGGGAGTCGACCAGGGTGGCTAAGCCAAGTTGCTGTTGCTCGCGTATCTTGGCGAGCCTTTTGTCCCTGGCCTTAGGCGCCGCGTCTGCTTCCATCCTGTCGCGGTCGTCAGCCGTGGTCTCGTCTGACTCAGAGGCGTCGCAGAGCGCGGCTGGCCTGAAGTCAGGGTCCTCCGCCAGCTCCTCCTGCACGCTGTGGATCCCTCAGCTGTATCCAGATGCCCGCCTCCACGCCCCAGGTGGCGAGGATCTGCAGCTGTGACTCGGTGGCTGCGCTGAACATCGCTCCCATGCCCGCGACGACCACGCCGGCCCTGGTCCTGGGTGTACGCGACGTTGAGCCGGCGTCAGTCGTCCATGAACCCCCAGACGCTTCAGCCACACACCCAGGGATAATGAATGACCGCTCGGCCCCCTCACTCTGATTATGTTTGTGCAGTTTGTTCCTCTGCGAAGGCGGGCGTCCATCTGGGCGTCCTACGTCGCCACGGCCACGCTCGTCGTCGTGCTGGCGGTCCTCTGGCACATTGCCGACGGGCTGCTGCGCAGCTGGGCCGAGCAGAGTGCGGCGGGCCTCTGCGCCTCGCTGGCCACCTCCGCCGCGCTGTTCCTGCTGGCGGCGTGCCTGTACAGGCCCGTGTCGCGCCGCGCGGGGCAAGCGTCGCCGCCCGCGGCCTGACCCTCGTCGGGGAGGAGTCCTGTCGGGGGAGACAGGGCTGCCGATGCCGCTGCTCGTTCTGGGGAGCCCCCGTCGCCACGGCTGGAGTCTCCCCGAAGTTCCTCGCGAAGGAGAGAAGGTGCCGATACTGCTGCACTTGCCCCGTTTTCGCCTTTTTGGGCCTCCTGGGAGGCCCTTGTCGCCGCGGCTGGATTCGCCCCGACACTCTGGTCGGAGCGCACCCCAGGGCAGGTCCAGGGAGTGGCGGCATCGGTGCCCTGTGATTCCCCCAGCCTGAGTCACCCGCAGTGGCGCGAAAGCGATCGCGGCTCCGCGCGTCGCGGCCTGGGCTGGACAGTCGCCCTTCTCGAAGGTGGCCTCGCGAGGGCGCGAAGGTGACAGCGCGTTGCGCATCGCGGGGGGCGGCGCGCCAAGTTGGGCGACCCAGGAGAAAGCCCGTGGGGAGAGACTGAGATTTGCCGCTGCTTGGGGGGCGCGGCGCGGTGCCGTGCGCAGCCGCTGTGGGTGAGGGCCTTCGGACTCCTTGGTCGCCTCCTGCCCGGCGCCCGCGCGCCTCCTCCTGCATGAGAAGGTCACCCTACGGTGTACGTTTCGGGGGTGCAGGGCTCAGCTGGAGGGCGGTCGGGTGGCCCGCACATACGGCAGCGCGTGCGTCAGGCACCACCTGCCATCTGCTGTAGTGGGTCCGCGGTCCGCGTGCTCGGCGGGCGTTGCCACCGAGTTTTTCCCATCGCGGTTCTACGACCAGCAGTGCGCGTGCCTCGTTGTGCTTCTTGGTCCGTGGAGAACAGTGTGCTCGGTGGGGGCGCACGCAGCCCACGAGCAGCCGGACCTTGCAGCGCGGCGGCGGCGGCGATGGCGAAAGAAATCATCCAAGCTCTCGAGCCTTGCGCTCTCTCGCGCTCCCTGATCGGGACGAGGAAGAGGAGGAGAAGGAGGAGGAGGAGGAGGAGGAGGAAAGAGGAAGGAGGAAGGAGTGAGAAGAGGAGGAGGTCAAGGAGGGAGAGGAGGACGAGGAGAGGAGGAGGGGGAGGAGGAGGAGGAAGAGGAGGAGCAGGCGGATGAGGAGGAGGAAGATGAGGATAGAGAGCTGGGGCGAGCTGGATCACGGAATGGACACGTAGCGCCAGCATCCTACGAGCGGGTTCCGGTCGTGCAGCGGTGCAGCCTTCGGGGCCAAGGCGGCCCTGGCTCGCTTCCAAAGGGCTCCCGTGCCCGCCAGCATTGGCTCCCACAGTGCGCGGGATCCGCGGGGAGGAGGCGTGCGCTCGGAGGGGGGGTGGGGGGGGGGTATCCATTGAACGTCCCTCACTCCACCTCGTATTTGGGCACATCTTCTGCCTGGAAGGCAAACATGTAAGGACTTCGTCGTAAAATGAACGCATCTTGGGCTCGATGCGCCCGGGGGACCCAACCATTGCTTCGCAAGGCGCGAGAGGGCCCGACACACAGCTGCCGCTGCAAGCGCGGTGGCGAATCCGAGGCGTTCCAGGGAGGGCCTTGCTTTCGAGGATCGAAGAAGTTGGCATCTCTTCCTCGGCGGAAGGCCTGCGGAAGTAAAACAAGGGCGGCTCCGCTGACAGAAGCAGGGAGGAAGCCTGCGCCCCAAAGAGATGACAACATTTCTGGTCGGGTCGGTCGGGCCGGCCGACCCGACCCGAAATATGTAGGGAGCGAGGAGGAGGAGAAGGAGGAGGCGGAGGAGGAGGAGGGGGATGACAGCGTCCTTGGTTGGATCCGAATGTCAGCAGCGTCAGATGGAGGAAGAGCCGAGGAGGAGAAGGAGGAGCATGGGGAGGAGAAGTAGGAGAACCAGGGCTAGCAGGGGGAGGAGGAGGAGAAGGAGGACGAGGAGGAGAGGGGGGGGGGAGTAGGTGGGAGATGGTGGAGGATGCTGCCGCTAAGATTCCCCCCCCCCCCGCAGGACGATGTGCACGCGTCCAGAGCGGGCGCAGTTGCGGCAGGAGGAGAGGGAGGACGCGAGCGAGGTTGAGAAGGAGGGCGACGAGGAACAGGAGGGCGAGGGTGAGGGTGAGGAGAAGACGGATGATGATGATGATGATGATGATGATGATGATGATGCTGATGCTGATGCTGATGCTGATGCTGATGCTGATGCTGATGCTGATGATGATGATGGTGATGGTGATGAGGATGAGGATGAGGATGATGATGATGATGATGATGATGACGATGATGATAATGATGGTGATGGTGATGGTGATGGTGATGGTGATGGTGATGGTGATTATGATGAGTATGATGATGATGATGCTGATGATGTTGATGATGGTGATGATGATGGTTATGATGGTATCGGTGCTGTTGATAATGCTGATGGGTGGTGATGAATTTGCTGCTCATGATGGTGAAGAGAATGATGCTGATGATGACGAGAGCGATGACGATGACGATGCTGCTGATGATGTTGATGTTGATGATTGCGGCGATGCTGATGGTGATACTGGTGATGTTGAGGATGGTGTGGTGATGGTGATGGTGATTTGCCGATGATGATGGTGGTAATGATGATCATGATTGTTGTGTGGATGATGACGATGACGAAAACGAAGAGGAGCAGGAGGAGGATTATGATGATGATTATGATGAGGAGGAGGCGGAGGAGGAGGATGGGGATGAGGATGCGAATCAGGATGAGGATGATGATGATGTTGACGATGATGATGATGCTGATGATGATGCTGATAATGAAGTGCTGATGGTGATGATGATTATGATTATGATGATCATGATGATGATGGTGATGGTGATGGTGATGGTGATGACGGTTATGGTGATGGTGGTAGTTTTGGTGATGGTGATCTTGATGATGGCGTTGATGATGATGATGATGTTGATGATGATGCTCGTGGTGATGATGGTGGTTGTTGTAGTGATGATTACGGTGATGGTGTTGGTGATGATGATTTGGCTGATGCTGATGATGATGCTGAGGATGATTGTGTCGGTAATGATGGTAATGATGATGGTGGTGAAGATGAATACAAAGATAAACATGATGGCGATTGTGATGATGGTTACGATGATGATGCCGTCTATGGTGATGGGATCATGATTATTATGACGATGTTGGTGATGTTGCTGATGATGAGAGGCTGATTATCGATACGCTGATGATAATGGTGATGGTGATGATTGTGATGCTGATGATGACGAGGGCGAGGACAATGACGATGACGATGCTGCTGATGATGCTGATGTTGATGATTGTGGCGATGCTGATGGTGATGATGGCGATGTTGATGATCGTGTGGTGGTGGGGATATGGTGATGATGAGAGTGGGGCTGATGATCATGGTTGTTATGCGGATGATAGCGACTTCGAAGACTCAGAGGAGCGGGATGATGATGATAATGATGATGATGATGATGATGATGATGATGATGATGATGGTGATGGTGATGATGATGATGATGATGATGAGGAGGAGGAGGAGGAGGAGGAGGAGGAGGAGGATGAGGAGGATGAGGAGGATTAGGATGAGGATGAGGATGAGGATGAGGATGATGAGGAGGAGGGGGAGGGGGAGGAGGCGGAGGAGAGAATGGGGAGACGGGCCGGCCGCCCCGAAGCTCGCCGCAGGCGGCACGGCAGCCCGCCGCGTGCCGCGCGCGCTTCGAGGCCCCGGAGCCCGAGGCACGCGCCACCGGCCTGAACGGCCCGCGGGCGGAGGGGGCCGCCCACCCGCGTGCCTGCCTGCATGCCTGCGTGCACGCCGCCTGCTTGCCGCCTGCCCGCCTTCGTCTGCCGCCATCGTCGTCGCCATCTTTTTCGCCGTCGTCGCCGCCATCGTCAGCCGTCGTCGTCGTCGGTTGCCGCCGTCGTCGTCGCCGGCGTCGTCGTCGCCGTCGTCGTCGTCGTCGTCGTCGTCGTCGTCGTCGTCGTCGTTCGCCGTCGTGGTCGGTCGCCGTCGCCGTCGCCGTCGTCGTATGTTGCCGTTCGCCTTCGCCGTCGTCGTCGTCGTCGTCGTCGTCTGTCGCCGCCCCCCTCCGCCTCCGCCTCGTGCCTCTTCCTCATTCTCCTTGCCGCAGCGGCCCTGCATCCCATGTGCCTCCGCAGGGATACAGAGTTTATTCTAGCCGTAGCCGCCGCCGCTGCTTGGAACCCATCCCCGAAGCGCTTTTACACGTGTGCCTCTTCTTCGGGCGAAGAGAACTATGCACATGCACCGATCCTGGCCAGGCCATCCTGAGCCCAGGACCTGTGCATACGTCCTCTGTCTTTAGCCCCCCCCCCCGTCTTGCCTCCTCTCGCATTCCCCGCCGGCCCGAGCGGCGGCGGAAGCAGGGGCGCTGGTCCAGTCATGCAGATGGCTGGGGGTCCCAGGTTGCGGCCAGCAGCCGCAGCGGGCTCGTCCCCTCCCTGCCCTCCCCATTTCTTGGTCGCTTCCTATTCCGCGTCCCCTCCCCCCTGTCATTGCTTCTCCCTTCCCTCCCTCGCCCCCTCCCTGGGGGAGAGGGTAGGAGGAGGGAGCAGGAGGAGGAGGAGGAGGAGGAGGAGGAAGGAGGAGTGAGAAGTGACGAGTGATGAGTGAGGCTGCATGCTGCTATCGCCTCGGTCATCCTCTCCTCCTGATTCTCCTCCTCCTCCTCCTCCTCCTCCTCATCTCCATCCTCATTCTCATCCTTCTTGTCGCGCAAGCTCGGACCCGCGCGCCTCGAACTCAGGCGGCAGGCGAGGGATGTTCTTCGCTGACGGCAAAGGCCTCGCTTGTGGAGAAACCTTTCCAGATGCCTCAGAGGTCCTCCGAGGGGGTGCCAGTCCCTGACTGGGAGCCCCTAGGGCCGTAGAGAAGTTGGAGGATGATGAGGAGATCGAGGGGTGAGGGCAAGAGGAAGAGGAAGAGGAATGATAGGAGGATAAGAGTAGGATGAGGGAGGAGCGATAAGTGCAGTGCAGAGTGATGAGTGAGGAGTGAGATGTGAGGAGTGAGGGGCGTGAAGCAGTGATGAATGATGAGCGGTAGAATCTGGATTCGGATCGGTTTCGAGAGCTTGCTTCTTTGCCAATATTCCATCGACTTTTTCAGACTGCTCTCAGCGGCTTTCTCACCACGTCGACTTTCATGGGAGACGCGAGGATTACATGACTCATAAGTGCGGAGGTTCGCTTCCAAGGTAATGAAAGGGGGGGGGGCGTAATGGCAGCGGCGGCAGCAGCAGCTTGCGGCAGCTGTGGACGAACACTGCGGCGGTAGCAGCCGAAGGAGCAGCAGCCGCCAGGACAGTCGGATGGGACTGTCTCGCATCTGTCGGCGGCGCGCCCAGAAAGCAAGTGAGAGGTTCGCAGAAGGCGGCGGAGCTTCTCAGAGACCCTCGCGCTCTGAGAAGCCGTCCGTGGCTTGGGAAAAGGCTTATATTCTCGGAAGGCTGGAGGCCTCTGGGCCTTCTGAGAAGCCTCGCCCCCTCTGCCTTCCCCCCTCAAGCCAAATTTGGAGGCTGGCTTCTGCCGAACAGGAATGGACGGTTTGCCCGCGGCAGCCGAGGACCAGCTTCAGTGGTGGTGCCAGTGGCGCCGGCGGCAGCCGCAGCAGCGTGCAGGTAGTCTCGAGAGCGGGTCTGCATGCAGTCTGGGGCGGACCGTCGGGCTGGACTGATCCTGCCAGCTATGCCTTGGACGGAGCTCAACCGCCAGCCAGCGCCCGCCGCGACCAGCCGGCTCCCTGACGCGAAGAAGGAGAGGGGAGGCGTCCGGTTGCCAGACGTCTGCATCAATTCTACGGGGGAGCACCACGTCTTCGTCATCGGCGATTGGGGCGGGCACTGGATCAGGCATCGCGCGCCTCCTCCGCTGGTTCTGGCCACCGCGCCACGGGGCGACACGCTATCCACTTCACAGTCCCAAGGCGCCAACGTCCCCAGCTTTCCCGAGCCTTCCGCCACGCGGAGCGGAGCGGCACGCTATCCGCTTGCAAGGTATGGCGTGTCGCCAGGGCCGCCGTTGCGACACGCTCAGCAAAAGCTTCTGTCCGCATACGGTTGTTGCATGGGGGAAGGGTGGCGCTGGTGAAAGACCTGGGCTGCAGGCGCAGAAGGCGATCAGCGCGGTTTGGATGGATGTCTTATGCTCTGGTAGGGCACGCGAGTGCCCTTCGTAGACAGTGGTGGCGCCTTCTCCTGGCAGGGTCCAGGGCAGCTCGGCCCCACTCGTGCTGCCTGGGGGGAGGACCCTCCCGCGACCGCGGAGTCGATCCCAACTTTGAACGGGCCGTCGCGTGGAGGAAAGCGGCCCAGGACAGTGCCGTGGCACGCCGACTCAGGGTGGCGACAGAAGCTGGCGGTCTCGCGTTCCTCGGTTCCCGAGCAGAAAACAGGCGACGGCACGATGGTTTGGCTTTCGTTCATCATCGATGGAGCCGCGGTCTGTCCCCGCGTTCTCGATGCGTGGTGGGGAAACCCAACAACTAGGATGCGAGGCCGTTCTTTAGGGCGTGGATCCTGCGCTGGAGGGCCGAGGATATAATCACCGCCAGTGTTTTTGTCGAGCCAGCTGGATTCCAAGATTTCGGATTGGAGTTGGGATCTCCTTCAGCAATGGCGTGTGGTGGCAGAGTACGGTCTGGAGCTTTTGCGCAGCGTGTCCCGCCGCCAGTTCTAGCCCACCACGCTTCATCGCGACACGCTAACCACGTGAGCGTCGCAGAAAAACGGCGTGAGCCGCGGCGTAAGGTCGCTGTGCCATCTCGCGTAAGACCCATTTCTTTCCGTCGCCCACGTCCCCATTTCCAAGCGTCAGCGTTCCGAGCTCTGCCCAGCCTCCCGCCCCGCGGAGCGTAGCGGGGCAGGGCATAGCGTGTCGCCAGGGCCTCTACCGAGACACGGTCCGCAAGATTTCCTCACCGCAGGTTTTCCGAAGACGGAGATGCCGCCTCGGATCTGCGCTCTGCGTGTGGAGGCGCAGGCTTGGATCGTCAAATGCTTTGCTGCTGTACAGCGAGACTAGAGATCGTCTGGCCACCAAGAGCGCCGTGCGCGCCCACGGGTGAAGACGAGTCTCATGGAGGCAGGAGCCCGGCAGTCAGATTGCCCCACGCTCGAGTTGCTCACGAGACCCGCACCACCGGGGAGGCCCCCGATTGTGCGGCAAGGTGCGCCTACGCTGACGACCCTGCTTGGGCAGCATCGCCAAGTCTCGTCGTGCAGGCTGGTGCTTCGCCCAATTCGTCCAAGTTTCGGAACTGGTGGGCCTGGATTTCAGAATATCTGTCAGCTCCTGGGGGGAGGTACTATGGGTAGGGCTGAGCTGCACGCAGTTCTGGCCCAACAGGCGGGTGTAGCCCCAGCCACGATTTGGTCGGACTGCCTGAGCTCATTCGACAGGCTCCCAGAGGGGAGGCGTGTTGCACTAGAGCGTCTAACCCGCACGCCTCGCAGTGAGCCTGGGTGCAGTGGCGTGGGACCTGAATTTGCGCAGGCGTGTGAAATAAAACGGCACCGTGCCAGATTCAAGTTGAGAGAGTCCGTAACCCATCATGTACAGGACGATGCAGATGTTGATAGAGGGGCAGCCGTGCACACTAGAACGTACTGGATCGTGGAGGGAGGGCCCCGCCAGCAAAGGGGTCAGGGGCCAACACGAGCACGAGGAGCAGGAGACCCATGGTGGCGTCCGCGGCCTGAGCTGGGAAGGCCTGCCCGTCCCCAAGGTGGCCTCGCGAGGACACGAAGATAGCCGCGCCTCGCACACCGCGGGGCGCGATGTGCGAAGTTGGGTGACCTAGATCTCATCGATCGGGCGGGGCCAGGACCAGAAAGCACGGGGCTGTCCAGAAAGGGCCTCGCCTTCGAGGATCGAAGGAATCGGCACCTCCTCCTCGGAGGGGGGTGGCGGAAACCGGCGGAAGGCCGGCGGAAGCCGGCGGAAGTAACAGTCGACTACACGTCAGAGTGACCTTTCGCCGGAGTGACCTCTGGTGCGGGCACAATGGGGTCCCCCGATCACTGATTGCGATGCAATAGTAGCGTCTTGCGCGCCTGAGTTTGGTCCCCCCGCGGCCCCCCACAGCCGCGCACCAAAGGTCACTCTTACCCAGGGTCACTCCTGCGTGTAGCCGAAACAGGTGCGCCTCCCCTCGTCTCATCACGGGGTGCAGCTCGCCTGCGATCCGAGGCACCGGCCCGCGATCCGCCCCAGCCCCTGCGCCTGCTCTGCGCCCCTGCGGCGGCAGCTAGGGGGCCCGTGGCGGCCGAGGCGCGAAGGCCGCCAGGCGCGAGTCGCCCGCCTGACGTCTCCGTGAATCGCATGGCGGTTGGGGATGTGCAGTAGGTGGAGTTCATCTGCTGGTTATGGGGGGGGGCGGAAAAACCTGCGTCGCCCGCGGGAGCGAGGCGCGAGTCGCGCTTCGGGCGTCGCGGCCTGGGCCAGCGGCGTTTGGACTTCTCCAAGGTGGCCTCCCAGCGCCCGAGATCGTGTAGCTACGTCGCCAGCGGGAGCGCGGGGGTGACGTTTTGAATCGCGATGGCGACGCTTTGAATCGCGATGACGACGCTTTGAATCGCCACGTGGTAGGGTCACCAGTGATGTCTTGCGAGGAAGACTTAATGATCGCGCTTCGCTTGTCGCGGTCTGGGCCGTACCATCCGTGCTTCCCCAAATGGGGGGCGGCGCGGGGCGCGGCGCGCGAAGTCTGGCGATCTCGCTGAAGCAGGCGCTCGCAAGGGGTACAGCCCACCACAGGAGGGAACCTGCAGGGCATGTGCCTGAAGCTTTGTATGGCGCGAAATTCAGAAAGACCTGGCGTTTCTCATCTCATTGAACCCCAGCTACGCCCATCAGAAATCTCAAGACAAATCATAACCTAGAACGGCATTCAGGTCTCGCTTCTTCAACTTTTCTTAACTCCAAGCAGGGGTGTAGGATTTCTCATGTCAGTGAGTCCCGGCTAACCCTCCCACCTCCTGCCCCCCTGTCCCTGCCCATCCTCCTGTCTTCGCCCTCCCATCAGTCCAGTCATACCCTGCCCCTCCTCCTGTCTTCGGCCGAACGTTTTGCGTCCTCCCTCCGGCCTCTCCTCCTCCTGCTCCTCCTCCTCCTCCTTCAATTCTTTTCCTAAAAAGTAAGTCTTCCCTGTCGCACACCGAGGACAGTCGAAAGGACAGGCCGGGAGTTTCGCCTGAGATTTCACTGATGGCCCTGAAGCTTCGAAGTTGACAGCAATTTCTCAGACTGAGGGCAGGGGATTTTCAAAATGTGGCTCCCGCCTTAGCGCCGCGTGCATTCGTTGTGCCAAATTGCCAGAGCTTCACGGATGGAGGGCGGCTCGTTTTCAAAATGTGGTTCTCGCCTCCGCGCCGCACGCATTTGTCAAACAAATACAAGAACTTCACGGGTGGAGGGCGGTTCGTGTTCAAAATGTGGCTCTCGCCTTAGCGCCTCGCACATTCGTTTTAACAAACTGCCAGAGCTTCACAAATGGAAGGCGGGGCGTTTTTTGAATGTGGCTCTCGCTTTAGCCCCGCGTAAATTCGTTCTAAAGCATTGCCAGGGCTTCACGGATGGAGAGCGGCCCGTTTTCAAAACGTGGTTCGCGCCTGAGCGCCGCGCACATTCGCTTTAAACATTTGCAAGGGCTTCACGGATTCCCATAGTTAACCTACCAGAAACGGTGTTTTGGAACGGTTCAGGATTGCCAGGGCGCACCAATTACGCTGATTCGCGGCATTGCTCCCAAAGGTGGTGTTCTGGCACGATTCAGGATCGTCAAGACGCAACAGTCAGATTCATTCGTGGCGTTGCAGTCTCGAGAATGCTGTTTTAGTGCGCTTCGGGATCGTCAAACGGTTGTCTCCAAACGGGGTACTTCCTTCAATGGAAATGAATTCTTGTCAGGGCCTATGAATTGATAGCCTGGGAGGAGGGTTTATTCGAACATCTTTGATGTGTCTTGGGTCTCCTTACTCTCCTCCTCCTCCTCCTCCTCACCCTCCACCTCCCCCGCATCTCTCTCTCGCTCCGCAGGGGCGTTGATGGCAAGCGCTACCTTCAGCCCGCGGACAATCGCAAGGACGGAATCCACAGCAGAGTTTACGTCGAAGGGCTCGACGATTCGGCGCAGCACAAGGTCAACCTCCATCATCGCCTTGCCCGTCGTCGTTGTCGCCCCCGTCTTGGCAGATGACGCCGCGTGCTTATCTGCTTATCTCCACGTTTTCTATGCACATTCGGCACCGCGCCTGGGGATGCAGCCAGGCTGGCCAGCGTCTTCGCACAAAGTGCGAGTGGATGTGCATGTGCGGAGGTATGTAGACTCGTTGGTCTCGCTCGCCAGCAAGACGAGAACGCTCGTCGCGTGATGTGTGAATGTGCTGGCTTGCACGGCAGATGGGGGAGAGGGAGAAGGAAGAGGGATGACGACGATGATGATGATGATTATGATGATGATTATGATGATGATGATGATGATGATGATGATGATGAGGAGGAGGAGGAGGAGGAGGAGGAGGAGGAGGAGAGGGAGGACCAGTGAATCCTCCGACTGGCGCGTCATTCGATACTGCTTTGGTGGTTACTCTGCCTACAGAAGGGAGCTCCGCAGTCTCTGTTTTCATTGTGTTGGCACTGCATGTTTGTTGTGATGCCTCGCGTGATTCTCAGGGCCTGTCCGCTGGGCAGTCTCATCGTTTTGTTTTTTGGTTTGGGGTGGGAGCTCGGGTGCCTCTGAGGGGCCTTGGGGGATCTTGGTCTTGTCTTGGCGGTCCGTGAGTGCCCAGCGCACCAGGGGTGTCCCTCTGGCCTGCCCACCGTGCCCTGGCCTCCTCTCTGGGTCAGTGGGGTGCAGCCCAGCGGCCCCATCACGGAGTCGCCTGCCTGGCCCGCCGGTCGCTCGGCTTCCCAGAGCGGCTCTGCTCTCCGGCGCGGTGTGCCTCCCAGGTGGTGCCGTCGTCGTCCTTCTTCTCGCCGCTCTCCCGGGTCGTCCACCTGGGGGCTCGGGCTTCGTGCTCGCGCCCCTGTGCGGCGTGGCGCGAGACGCCACGGGCACACGGCTCAGCGGCGCGCCTTGCGGCTGGGCTTCCCGCCTGCTGTGGCCCGGTGGTTCTCCCACGGCCTGCGCGCACCCACCGCCCGCCTGGCACACTCCCGCCGCAGCAGTGCTGTCTTTTAACACCCTTCTCGCCCGTCTCGCACTCTCGAGTGAGTCGCGTTGGATGGTGCCCTCTGGGCCTCTCCTTGCACGTCACGTGCTGCTTCTCACACCTCTCCGCATGGCTTAGGTATCGTCCGTGTGCACTGGCTCCTGCCCGTTCTTCTTCCTGCAAGCGTCAGCCGCGTCCTGACCATCTACTGGCAACGGCTTTGTGACAATTGATCTAGGCGTGTCCCGCCCCAGAGCTTGCTGCATTGGATCAACCAGCTGGGAAAGTTCGAAGTGTGTGTGTGTGTGTGCGTGTGTGTGTGTGTGTGTGTGTGTGTGTGTGTTGGGGGGGTCTCTCTCTCTCTCTTTTCTCTTCTCTCCCTCTCTCTCTCTCGCAACTCTCATCTTCCTCATCGTTGATCATCATCCTCTTCCTCGTCATGCTCATTGTCCTCGCCATGATTGCCCTCATCCCTCTTCGCTAGTTCCCCTGTCCTTCCTCTGCACCCTCCCACAATTCCTCCTCCCCCTCTTCCTTCCTCCTTCCTCCTTTCCATCCCTCCCACCTTGTACCTCGTCTCGCATGCCTCCCTGCTTCACCCCCCCTCGCTACCTCCCCTTTACCCCGCAAGCCCACCCTTTTCCCCCCTTCCCCTGCATCCCCCTCTCCTGCCCTCGGCTGGTGGATAACGCAGGCACGTGGGAAAAGGGGGGGGGGCAACATCAGAGTGAAATAGATGCTTCTGTAAGTGCAGTTGCAGTCAGTATCGCGCACCCCTCACTCTAAGTCGAGCGCGGCTGAACGGGGAGACAGGTTAAGAACATGTCTCTTTCGGGGTTCTTTCGGGGTTATGACGATGGGTTCTCTCGAGATTCAAGAGAGCATTCTAGGTCAAGAACATGCATTATAGGGCCCGCCGTGTGAGACTTCCTTAATAGCCCCACAGGGTGGCCTGGCTGGCTGGCTGGCTGGAGTGGTTGGCTCGTCGGTTTGCTGGTGGGCTGCTGGGTCAAAAAAGATTAAAACGGGCCCGAGGTGTGGGATATCCAGGATATCCAGGATAACGCCCCTCGCCCTAGCCCCGGCCCTGTAGCCCTCGCTGCAGTCTTGATTCATTTGTCGTTTTGTTTTTGTTCGTGTTTTTCGTTTTGTCGTTTTGTCAGGTTCAAGCTCCAGCCAGAACCTCGCCCTGGCCCCAGCCGTCGTCCCATGTCTTGTTTCGTTTTTAGTTTTGTTTCCAGCGCGGTCTGCGAAGTTCGTTTCGTGTTTCGTGTTGTTTTCTCTGTGAGCGGTGGTCTCGTTTCGTTTTTCGTTTTCGCTTGCAGAGGTTTCGTTTTAATCATTCGTTGTACAACGATTGGGTTCGTTTTGGTTTTCGTTATAAGCGCCAACATACATGAAATATCGTTGTGCTCGGTCCGTGGATATCCTCAAACATGGCACAGGATGGACTGGTTGATTGATTCGTGGATTGGTTGGTTGGCTGGTCGGCTGGCTGGTTGGTTGGCCTGGTTGATTGGTAGCTGGGCTGGTTTGTTGGTTGATCGGTGGGCTGGTTGGCCACTTTGTTGGTGGTCAACTCGTAGTCGGCTTGCCTTTAAACGAAATCTCGTGCAATTGCGAGTGCAATGCAACGTAATGCGCTGCACTGCATTGCAATGCAAATACATTTCAATGCCAAGGCAATCCAACGCAATCCAATGCAATTCCAATGCAGTGCAGCGGAAACCGAGAATCCCACACGTCACAGGGCACCGCCTGATGGTAGAAGCAATGCTGTTCCGCTGTTCCATTCTATTCGCCACGTGGCAGCGCCTGGAGGGAGCGAACACACAAATACTATTCCACTCCACTGATCATGTGACAAGGCTGGCGGGGAACACAAGCTACTATTCCACTCCATTCGCCCAGTGGCAGCGCCTCTGTGGGCGGGCGAAGAAAGAGTCTACAATTCTACTCGTCACGTGGCGACGCCGCGGGGGCCGAGAGACACACAATGCCACTCCACTCGCCGCGTGGCAACGCAGTGGAGCCAAGCAGTGCTATTCCAGCATACTCTTGACGTGGCAACACCGCTGGGCGGAAACATACAGTTCTGTTCTACTCGCCACGTGGAAACGCCGGGGGGGAACCGAAAACTTGACTTGCCACGTGGCAACTCGGCGGACGACGACGACGAAGATAATGACCACGACGACCACGACGACGACGAAGACGACGACGACGACGACGACGACTGAGTGGCATGGGATAGAATTTGATGGGATCCGATGCGATGCGATGGAAGCGAATGTAGTGGATTGGAATTGACTGCATTTGACTGGAATGGAACGGAACGGAACAGAGCAACCGCCGCATGTCGGTGCACCTGCTCTCATTCCGTTCCGTTCCAAATTCATTCCATGTATATCCGTTCCAACCCAGCGCATCCCATCCCACATTCCATCCTATCCCATTTCACTATTCTGTCGTCGTCGTTTTCGTCGTCGTCGTCGTCCTCGTCGCCGTCGTCGTCGTCGTCGTCGTCGTCCAGTTGCCGGGTCAAATAGATTTTTCCAGGTTGATTGAGCGGTTGGTTGGTTCGTTGGTTAGCTGCCTGGTTGGTGGACTGGCTGGTTGTTCGATTAGTTGGTTGGCTAGTTGGTTAGTTGGCCAGTTTTGGCATACCAATCACACGCACCTCTGGAGCCTGGAATACATCTTCTTGGCCCAGATATCATTTGTTTGACCATCGGGAGGTCTTTTGACCTCAGAAGGATATTTGTTTTTAGCCCAGTGCCTGGCTGAACGTGCTCAGAAACGAACAAGCTGGCTTGCGCTATACGCCGGCTCCGCGGCATGTCTAATCTCAGCGCGCGCCCGGTGATTGGAGTGATATTATTGTTGCTGCTGCTGCTGAATTTTGCAACAGGGCCGAGGCGAGTTAGCCACTGTGTCACGATCTTGGCTCAAGGATGCGGCCACCGACTCCTGAGGCCCCGTGCCCTGCGCTGGGAGCGCGCCCGCGCGCGAGCAGATGGCGGGCTTTCTGGCTGCTGCCCACCGCAGCTCCACGGCACGCCTCGGCGCTCAGCGTCCCCGAGGAGCACGTGCAGCAGCTGGCCGCGGCGCTCTTCGATGGCGGCGGCCCCGCGCGGGCGCGCTTTGAGGATGGTCGCGCTTCGGGTTGCGCTGCGCACCGAGGCCCCCAGGTAGTCCCGGCTGTCCTCAAGAGGCCCCAGGAGTAGTTTTGGTTCTGGGGGGTCTCAACTTTTTGGCGCCGTCTCCGGCGGCGCCCCTGGGGCGCTACGCGCCGCAGGGTTCGGGTGTAGAGATCGCCCAAGAGCTTTCGGGGGGCCTGTTAAGGCCAGCCGGGACCACCTGGGGGGTGCTTTCCTTTCTATGCGCACAGCCCGAAGTGCTGCCATTCGAGGACGTGCTGCGCTACCACCTCCGCAGCAAGCACTTCTTCGACGTCCAGGCGGAGCTCCCGCAGAAGCACATGGACTGGGACTCGCAGCCCTCGCCTTGGCTGGCCTACGCTGGCGCTCCTACCGCGGAGTTGCCAACGGCGCTGCTGCCGGAGGCGGCGGGCTGGCGCCAGAGGCGCGCGCCAGCGCCGGCGGAGCTCTCGCCCGCCAGCCTGGGGTCGTTTCTGCGCCTGGGCGCGGGCATCTCGGCGTGGAAGTCGCACGACGGCACGCACAAGTGGGCCCTGAGGCCGACGAAGAAAACAGCGACATTCGGGTATAGCCACAACCCCAGGTAAGGGGACCCGGTTAGTGGTAGGGCCCCAGAGCGATTGAATTGGCCAGAATCACTAAACTAGGTCTGCCGTAGCTGGTCTTTTTTCGGGTGACGGCAGTTCCGGTTAGTGGAACGGGGCGGGGGGGGCGTCCCCCAGTACACATCACTAAACCAGGTTCCACTAAACCCATTTCTGCCAACGCCCGAGACATAAAGATAAATCTTGACGCTCTTGGCCGGAAGGGTTCAGTGGGCTCTCGCTACGCTCCGACCTCTTCGGTGCGACACGACCCCTGGGAAAACCCAGCCACCTCGGATTCCAACAGACTCTGCGACGGTCTGTCACCTCCACTGGGAAGAGTGTGAAGATAGTCGCGAGTCGCAGAAGGAAGGGGAGCCCCCCGCTGGGGAGGAGCTTAGTTGGCACAGTCAGGGTTGGCATAGCCAGGGGTGGCACAGTCATGGTTGGCATAGTCAGCGCGGTCGGAAATGGCACAGCCACGATTGGCATAGTCAGCAACAACTGCTCGAGCAAATGTTCTACCATTATCCTCCTCTCCTCTCACACCGTGTGCCTGGCGTGCACTTCCTTTCCGCCCCTCCTGCATCCTAATGCTGCAGCGGTTAGCTGCCACACTGGGGTGCCTACCGTGCTTTGCGTGCACTTACCCTCCTCTCCTTTGTTTCACCGGGTTTATTCCACGCGGCTGGGGTTGCTGCCAATACCGCTGTCTGATGGTGCTCTGACGGCCTGAATTCCATGCAGGGATGAGACCATTTCTTTATTGCTTGGGGCATGACGGGCGTCATGGCCCCCGCCCCCACCCCCCCTTATGACGTAACGCTCCCCCCCCCAGTACGCTCTGGGCACTGCCGCCGTGCGTATTGGATCCGCGTAGGTGTCCGCGTAGGAATCCGCATAGGAGTCTGGTCCGCAGTCGTCGTCGTCGTCGTCGTCGTCGTCGTCGTCGTCGTCGTCGTCGTCGGCGTCGGCGTCGTCGTCGTCGTCGTCGTCGTCGTCGTGGTCGCTCGTGGCTCATGGCTCGTCGCTCGTCGCTCATCGTCGTCGTGCGCGCGGACGCGGCTGGAGCCTGTTTCTTTATTCCGGGCCGATGACGGCAATCATTTGGGGGGGTGTAGGGGGTCGATGACGTCACGCTCGCGCCGGCGGCGTCTGGGAATGCTTAGGAATGACGGAGGACGAGTGGCACCAGCATGTAAGTGGCGATCTGCACCACAACGCCTGTGCACACCTCAGTGCCTGCGTGCACCACAGACAGCTCTTGTGTACACCACAGCGCCTGCGTACACCACATCAACCGTGTGCAACACAACAGTGTACACCACAATGCCTGCGTGCATTGCAGTGTCTGTGTGCACCACGGCGCTTGTGCGCACCACAGCAACCGTGTGCAACACAGCACATTTGTTGTATGTAGAATGGTTGAAGGTGTCATTATGACAAAATGGAGCGTTTGTGGATTCCACCGAAAACGCCAGGAAATAATCTTTATGGACAAGGGAACGCCAAGGGAATCTAGGAGCCCTTCCGAGTTCGCCCGCGCCACCGTAACTCCTTCTATCTGTGTCCACGAGGTTCCAGCTAAATTGGCCGTCCGAGAACCAAGTGGGCCGATTCAATACAACATTCTGCGGTGTACGCTGAATTGCGCACGTGCGCTGCAGCGCCAACCCGCACGACAGGGGGTAAGGAGGAGGAGGAGGACGAGGAGGAGGAGGAGGAAAAGGAGGAGGAAGAGAAACATGAGGAGGAGGAGGGAGAGGAGGAGGAGGAGGAAGAGGAGGTCGAACTGGAGGAGAAAGGAAGAGGGAAAATCGTCGCATCCGATTATCAGCACTTTCCTAGCGTGGCGCTTCCGCAGCATATCGTCACGTACAAGCTCCTTCTACCTGTCCTATGCACGCAGGCAGCGTGGTGTACAATAGCGTTGCGTTGCACGCGGATGCTGTGGTGTAGACAGGCGCTGTGGCGTGCACAGGCGCCGCGGTGCACGCAAACATTGTGGTGTACACAGGCGCTGCGTTGCACATGGTTGCTTCCGGTGTGCACATGTACACCGGCGCTGTAGTGTACGCAAGCACTGCAGTGTACACAGGCGTTGCGTTGCACACGGTTGCTGCGATGTACGCAGGTGCTGTGGTGTACACGCACGCTGTGGTGCACGCGAGCGTTGCGGCGTACACAGGCGCAGAGGGGGCAGATCGCCACCTACATGCTGCTCGCGTCGTCTTCGCCGTTGTCGTCGTCGTCGTCGTCGTCGTCGTCGTCGTCGTCGTCGTCGTCGTCGTCGCTTGTCGCTCGTCGCGTCGTGCGCGCGGGCGCGGCTGTGGTGCTGGAGCCACACGGCGGGGGGGGAGGGGGCGTTACGTCATGCCCCCCCCCCGCCCTCCCCCCTCCCCCATGACGCCCGTCATCGCCGAGCTTAAAAAAACGCTCCCGATCACACTTGGAATGGGTGGTCAGGTGGCCCCTGGCCTGCTCCTGGCTGGTGTCGGCCTCCACTGGTGACCGGAAGGGTTCAGTGGGGTCTCGCTACGAATTCCATGCAAGGATCACAGTGGGAATGGGCGGTCCGGTGGCCCCTGGCTTGCTCCTGGCTGGTGTCGGCCTCCACTGGTGACCGAAACGGTTCAGTGGGGTCTCGCTACGCTGCCGACCTCCACGGTGCAAGGACTTCGGCATGTGTGGCACGGTTCGCCCGTCGGCTGCTTTCTCCTGCAAGGACTTCGCTTTCGACATGTGCCACTGCTGTACAAACAACAGGTACTGCCGCAGAGGTCAATCACACCGAGTGATTGACCTCTGCGTGTTTATGGTCGCGCTGCCGCGCCATTTTGGCTGCGCTTACTTGCTGGTCGCCACCGGGATTTCCACGCCACCGGGTTGGGAGTTTCGTTTCCGGCTCTTTTTCTGAGTGGCTGCCCGTGCGCTCGCTCTGCTTGCCTCTCTTTTCTTGCTGCCTAGTCGCGGCCCGACTCGTGTTCGGACGGTTGTCGACCTGCTTCGCAAGCCCGCGGGCCAAAAAGTATCCTTGCCAACACATCCACAAAGGATGCCCAGGCGATTTGCCTGAATCTGGGAAGCGGATGAGCACGCAGTGGATCAAGAGCTGGGGAAGCCGTGAGAGTGAAGTCTTGGTCCAGCCGAATGAGGCGTGGAACAAGGATGAGGGGGATGAGGGAGACGAGGAGGAGGAGGAGGAGGAGGAGGAGGAGGAGGAGGAGGAGGAGGAGGAGGAGGAGGGAGGAGGGAGGGAGGAGGGAGGAGGAGGGAGGAGGAGGAGGAGGAGAGGAGAGGATGGAGGAGGGGGAGGAGGAGGAGGAGGGAGGAGGAGGAGGAGGAGGAGAAGGAGGAGGAGGAGGAGGTGGGGGGAGGGGAGGAGCGAGGAGGGAGGGGGGGAACTAGGCGGATGAAGAGGAGGAGGAGGAGGAGGAGGAGGAGGAGGAGGAAGAGGAGGAAGAGGAGGAAGAGGAGGAGGAGAGCAAAGTCGACCTTGAGGGCTTCTTGGAGCGTCTTGGGGTCCTCTTGGCGGTCCTGGGGGCCTCTTGCGTACTTCAGGGAGCCTCTTGGGGCCTCTTGGGGGTCTCTTGGGAGCCTTTTGGAGGCTTCTTGGGCGCCTCTTGGGGCCTCCTTGGCGCCTCTTTGGACGCTTTTGGGGCGCTCTTGGGAGGCTTGGGGACTCTTTTGGAGCCATCTTGGAGGACATCGGTTATAGAAGGGAGAAGCTTGAATTTGTATTGCCCCTCTAGTGCCCAGAATCGTCTCTTGGACCCCTCCTGAAGCGCTCTTGGGGTGCTCTTGAGCACCCTTGGGGCCGTCTTGGGGCTCTATCAGGCCTCTCTTGGGGCTTTCTGGAGCTTTCTTGGAGCTGTCTTGAGGCCTCGGAAGGCCACCAAAAGCAAAAAGGCGAGAAGGCACAACTCATTGATTTATCATCAGTTTTTGAAGGGTTTGGGGCCTCTTGGCGGCCTCCGTGAGACGCTCCTATGAGCAGATTGAGAGGTCCTGGCGCCTTGTGCCTGGGCGTGTGCGGGTAGGGCACGCCACCGCCCACTTTCGCCGCTGCGCTTGCCTTCCACGCCCCTCACGTTTCATTTTTCTTGTTCTTTGATCATTGACCTCATCTCGCCCCTCCCACCCTGGCGGCCGATCCACACTCATCAGTACGCACCAGACGGGAGCGTTCTCACCCCACACCTCCTTATCCGACCTCCTGTCAGCCTCACCTCTGTGCAGTCACGCAGCCGCCTAGAACCGAAGCCAGGCAGCCACCATCTTGAGGGAAGGGTGGGGGTGGAGGCTATGGGTGGGGCTGGCCACATGCGCCGCAACGCCTTCGCTCGGGGACCGCTACCATGACGAGTGTGGCCACCAGTCACACACAGCGCCGCCGTCTGGCGGGTGCGGCCTGGCACGGTTGCAGCGCGGCGAGGAAGCCGCCAACAGCCCACGCTGGCACCCTTTTCATCTCTGCCATGCCAGGCATCACACCTCCCTCGTGGTCATTGTCCCTTCTCCTCCTCCTCCTCCTCCTCCTCCTCCTCCTCTTCCTCCTCCTCCTCCCCTCCCCTGACCTTCTGTTTGTCTGTCACCGTTACTTGTCTTTACAAACGTTTCCCACTAGCCAGCGGCCTGTGGAGCGGTGCTCCAGGGGTCGCCTGGCTTTCATTTGATCAAGCCCCCAGGGTCGACCTTGGGGGGGGGAGGGCGGCAATTGACGATTTTTCACACCACGAGGACTCGGGAATCGGGAGGAGGAACCGGTTTTTGCTCCTCTGTCAGGGTCGCCCCGTCGTCGGGCAACCTGCAGACCACGGAGCTGCACCTCCTGCTGCCCGGCGGCCTCGGCGCGCCGCTAGCCGACCAGCCGGCCGCGTACCATTACCGGCCAGACAGGCACTCCCTGGAGCTTCGGGCGGGCGTGCCGCGCGAGCTGGTCCAGGGAACGGACGGCGAGGCGATGATGATGATGACGACGACGACGACGATGATGATGATGATGAGGAGGAGGAGGAGGAGGAGTAAGATGAGGATGAGGATGATGATGAGGATACTGCTGATGATGATGATGATGATGATGATCATGATGATGATCATGATCATGATCATGATCATGATGATTCTGATGATGAGTATTGCGATGATGATGTTGATGCTGATGTTGATAATGATGATGATGAGGATGATGATTATCATGATGATGATGATGATGATGCTGATGCTGATGCGGATGCTGCTGCTGATGATGATGAGCAGCAGAAGGAGGAGGATGATGGTGATGATGAGGAGAGTGATGATGATGATGATGACGGCGACGGCGACGACGACGATGATGATGATGGTGATGGTGATCAGTGATGGTGATGGTGGTGATGATGGTGATGTCTCGTTGGGGAGGCCTTTTGGGGGGGTGAAATGTGTTTTTTGTTTTGAGCCTATGCGTTTCCCGCCTTGTTAGTTTCAGGGGTCAAACAGTATTATCACCTGACACCAGGCTCGCGTGCGCCTAAGACGCAGGCTGTTGTTGGCCATAACCTGCAAGAGGGAGTTGCCGTTGCTGGTGATGAGGATGACGACGGCGACGACGACGATGGTGATGATGATTCTGTTGTCGATAAGATGATGGTGCTGATGATGATGTTGATGATGATGACGATGATATGATATGGCATGAACTGTGGAATCTGAAGTATAACATATTAATCATAAGCTGTTGTATGACATGCTATAATCTTATGTGTTATGATATGATGGTGGTGGTGACTGTAAGGATGATGCTGTTGATGATGATGACGATGACGATCGGTGAGGATGACGAGGATGAGGATGAGTATGGGGATGCGGATGGTGATGATGTTGATGGTGATGTTGCTGGTAATGGTGATGACGACAATGATGATGATGATGATGATGATGATGATGATGATGCTGCTGCTGATGGATGATGTTGATTATGATGCTGACGGCGATGGTGGTGATGATGATGATGATGATGATGATGATGATGATGGTGATGACTGATGACGGTGATGATGGTGATGATGGTGATGATGGTGATGGTGGTGTTGGTGGTGGTGATGATGAGGATGTTGACGAATATCTAAGACGCCTACGGCGAATCACCGCCGCCCCCTGCCTTTTTGGAAGCGCCTATGTGGCCGAACGTTGAGGCCAGACCTGCCAACCTATCGGACCATGTGTTCCCCGAATTGGTTTGGAAAGCCTTCGGGGAACACGTGGGCATCTTGAAGGTCATCTTGGCCGCCTGGAGGCCATTTTGACCCTTTCGGGCCTTCTTGGAAGACGTCTGGGAGGGCTCTTGGGCCGTCTTGGAGGCCATCTTGAGCGTCTTGGAGGCCTCTTGGGCCGTCTTGGGGGGCCTCTTGGGGCCGTCTTGGGCCTCTTGGGCGATCGTTGGGGGCACTTGGGCCGGCGGAAGGCAGGAAAAACGCAAATGCCACAATCCTTCAACAACTCATGGGGAATCCATGATTTTGGCCTTTTCGGGCCTTCTGGAGGCCCTCTTGGAGGCCTCTTGGGCCGTCTTGGGCCATCTTAGTGTCATCTTCGGCCGTCTTGGTGGGCCCCTGGCCCGTCCGACGCCGTCGGAAGCCGTTTGGGAGGCCTCTCTGAGCCGACTTGGGGCCCTCTTGGAATGCTCCAGGGCCGTCTTGGAGGCCATCTTGAGCGTCTGAAAAGCCTCCTGGGCCGTCTTGGGGGCCTCTTGGGGCCGTCCTGGAGGCCTCTTGGGCCGTTCTGGGGCCATCTTGGGGGCATCTTGGGCGATCTTTGGGCGATCTTTGGGGGCTCTTGGGCCGTCTCGGGCCGTCGGAAGGCCGAAAAGAAGCAAATGTCAAAATCCTCCAAAACCAACGGAACATCAATGTTATGTGGCCTTTTCTGGCCTTCCTGGAGGCCCTCTTGGAGGCCTCTTGGGCCGTCTTGTGCCAGCTTCGAGCCAATTTCGGCCATCTTGGTAGGCTCCTGGCCCGTCCGACGCCGTCGGGAGCCGTCTTGGGGGCCTCTCTGAACCGACTTGGGGTCCTCTGGGGGCGCTTCGGGGCCGTCTTGGAGACCATCTTGGGCGTCTCTTGGGTGCCTCTTGGGAGCCCCTTGGCCTCGAGGCGTCTTGGGGACCTATTGGGCCCTCTTGGGGGCCTCTGTGGGCTCTCCTGGAGCCTCCTGTGGGCCTCTCGGGGCCGATGGCTCGAAATGTCGTTCGGGTCCCCCGTCTGGGCCCGCTATTGGAGCCGTCTTGGGACCCGAAGAGGCCGTCTTGGAAGCTTCTTGGGCCGTCTTGGGGCCCGCTTGGCTTGGTTTGGACCCTCGTGGACGCTTCTGGGGCCGTTTTTGGGCGACCCTGGGGGCCTCTTGTGCCGTCTTGAAGCGTAGGGAAGCCGAAACGGCGATAACTCGAATACCTTCCAAAAACCCAAGTAACAATTACTGATTTGTCCTTGTTGGAGCCCTCTTGGGAAGTCTCTTGGAGGCCTCTTGGGGCGCCTTGGAGGCCTCTTGAGCCATCTTGGGGGCATCCTTGGCGTCTTGGTGCGATCTTTCAGCGACTCGGGGCCCTCATCGGCCGTCTCGTAGGCATCTTGGGGCTGTCTGGGCCTGTCTTGGCGCCCTCTTGGGCCCGAACAGATCACGCGGGGAGGCGATCCAAGGCCCAGGGGAAGCGCGCCAAGCCCCAGAAGATTTGAGAAGTTTGGGCCCGGGCCCCTAAAAGATTTCTCAGGACTAAGGACTGGGACTCAGAGGATTAGGCAAAGGACCTGAGTGCACGCCCACTCCGTTCCCAAGGGCACGCTGGCGGATATATTTGATGACGATGATGATCATGATGATGATGATGATGATGATGATGAGGATGATGATGATGATGATGATGATGATGATGCTGATGCTGATGCTGATGCTGATGCTGATGCTGATGCTGATGCTGATGATGCTGATGATGATGATGATGATGATGATGTTGTTCATGATGACGATGATGATGGTGATGATGATGACGATAGTGACGACAACGTCTGCGACGACGATGTTGATGATGATGATGATGGTGGTGGTGGTGATGATGATGATGGTGGTGGTGGTGATGATGACAATGCGTGCGGTGATGGTGATGATGATGACGACGATGACGACGATGCTGAAAATGAGGAGGAGGAGGTTGATGGTTTTCGCGATGGTGATGGTGAGGTCGATGATGATGATGATGGTGATGATGGTGGTGGTGAGGATAGTGATGATCAGGATTATGGTGGCGATGGCGGTGTTGATGATGATGAATATGAAGCTGACAGCGGTGATGGAGATGATGCTGATGATAATGGTGGTTATGTTGATTCTTATGATAGTGATGGTGGTGGTGAGGGTTTTGATGTGATCACGATGTTGATGGTGATGATAATGATGGTGGTGACGATGATAATGGTGATGATGATGATGATGATAATAATGATGGTGGTGGTGGTGATGATGATGGTCATGATGATGGTGGTGACGGCTATCTCGTTGATGATACTGACCCTGATGATGATGGTCAGGATGATGGAGGTCATGATGATGCTGATGATGATGGCGATGATGAATGACGATGATTCTGATGGTAGTGGTTGTGATGATGGTGATGGCGATGTTGATGGTGATGATGCAGATGAGGATGATGATGGTGGTGGTGACGGTTATGATTTTGATGGTGTTGCCGATGACGATGGTGACGATTATGATAATTACGATGATGACGATGATGACGACGATGACGATGACGATTACGGCGATGTTAATGTTGGTGCTTTTGATGATGATGATGATGATGATGATAAATATTATGATGTTGTTGATGATGACGAAGATGATGATGATGATGCTGATGATGATGGTGATGATGATGATGATGATGATGAGGATGAGGATGACGATGACGATGACGATGACGATGACGATGACGATGACGATGCTTACGATGATGATCTTGAGAATGAGACAGCGGCATAAGCATAATCGTCGGGAGCTCATCGTGGGTTTCTTGGATAGATGTTGAAGTACCACGTGAGACAGTTCACTGGAAGTCACGATGAAAGGCAGGAAGGGTGGAATCCCCTGGCGGCGCATTCGGTGCCGCCCCTGGTTCGAGGTCTCTGCGCAGATCCAATAAATCCGCGTGGAGTTCCAACAATACATGTTTGCACTGCTTTTTTTCTCGAGAGGCCGTCGGTTTCGTCGCCGTCTTCACGAGCATCTGCCTCAGGGAGGCGTGGAAGTACGGCGAGCGGGCGCTCCGATCCTGCCACCTCTCGGCGGCGCGCCCAGGAGGGAAGTGAGAGGGGGTAGGCCTCCTCGGAAGGCGGCGGGGTTTGTCGGAAGCCCTCCGACCTTCTGAGAAGCCGCCAGTGCCTTCGGAGAAGGCTTACAACGCTTCTCCTGAGCTTTCCGAGAGGGCCCGCCCCCTCTCGGTTGTTTTGGGCCGTAACTCGGCTCTCCAGCGGCCGTTCGTGACGATCCGGGCATCCCCAGAATGCTCTCGGCGAGGCGCGGTTGCAGGAAAGCACCCCGAGGCTGGAAAATTGACGCAAACGTCAGAAAACCTTGAAGCTGGAACCTCGAGCCTCCTATGCCTTCCCTCCCTCCTGCAGGGTATTCAATGCTCAGGCACCCCTCCTCCTCCTGCAGGGTGTTCGGGCATCCCTCTTCCTACTCCTTCTCCTTCTTCCCCTCCTCCGCCTTCTCCTCCTCCTCATCCTCCTCCTCCTCTTCCTGCCCCCTCCTCCAGCATGAAGCCGCATGGAAGTGAACCATGCCAGCGCAGCCCCCGCAAAGTCGGGTGAGCCATGGCTGCAAGGAACCTTCGGGGGGGCAGCGAGTCACTAGGCGACTAGCCCGCCCTTCTATGCCCGATGCCACCTCCTCGTCTTGGCGGCATGACGCATGATCGCACGAGGCATAAACAGCGGTCCCGAAGAATGGTCGTCCTGCCTCCCGCTCCTCTTCCTCCCCCTCCCCCTCCACATCGCCGTCGCCGCCGTCGTCGTTGTTTCAGGCTGGTGTGCGTCGGCTACAGGATGCCGAGGAGGGCCAAATGGGGCGACACGGTCAGCCAAGAGCTGGAGGTCAACGGCGCGAGGGCGGCGGGATGCTTGTGCGCAATTGGGCTGGCCAGTGTAATGGTGCACAGGAAGCTGCTCCTGCTGGCAAAGGAGTACCCGCTGGTCAGGTGCCAGAACGTAGTGGACGACCTGATGATGCAGGTGGTGGGGCGAGCGGAGCAAGTCAGGGAACAACTCCCGAAAACGTTGGTGAAGTTGGTGGACATGATGGAAGCCACGGACCTGGTGGTGGCCGGGCACAAAACCAAGCACATGGCCAGCGACGAGGACATGGCGAAGGCCATCAAAGGGGCCTTTGCCGAAGCAGGAGTGCAGCTTGAAAGCGTGGCAGGAGCCAGGTACCTCGGCAACGATGTCAGTGGCGGCAGGTGGAGGAAGACGGGCGAACAACATGCAAGGATGAGGGATGAGGAAGGCGGTGAGGTCGACAGGACGGGTCCAAGTGCTCAGGGCGGCGGGTACGACCACAGAAGGCCATTTGCAACGGAGCAGCCCCGCGGCGACGGCGGCTTGGGGAGCTGAGGTGACGGGCGTAGCGGACCACAAGCTGCACCAGCTGCGCATACAGGCCACGAATGCGGAGGGCACATTGCCAAGAGGAGCAGTGGCGTACCTGAGGCTCACGGTCTTACAGCTAGGAGGCAACAAGGGACCCAGAAGCTCTGGTGGCCGAAGAAGGACCGAGGGCCTGGGCGATGTGCGAGGTGGGACCAACGCCAGCACTGCAAGGGCGGTGACGGAGAGCTGCTGGAAGGAGGCGCAGCAACATCTGAGGAAGGAGAAGCCATGGGCAGGAGCGGCAAGCCCAGCAGACGCCATGGTCCTCACGATGGCGCGGGCAGGGGTGGAGATGCTTCCGGCCTTCAAGCTGGAGATGCCCAGTGGCGAGGTGATGGACATGAAGTGGCTGGGGCCAGGGCTCATAGGAGAAGTGGCAGGCCCAAGCCTTACCAAGTCTAGGTCCAGTATCGGCTTGGGGAGGGCCAGTGCACTGGAGGCACCACGAGGAGCTGATGCGCGAGAAGGAGACCGAATTATGGAGCGTAAAGCACAAGCGGGCGCTCAGGTGTGCAGCTGGCGGCTCGACCTGGACGCAAGCGCGGCTATGCGACAAAAGGCTGACCACAACCGACAAGCGCAGGCGCTGTGGGAGGCTGCGCGGGGCACGTTTGCACCGAAATTCCGATTGCGACGCGGGCCTGAACCAGAGGAGGGACTTCTGCCCGCCTGAGGTGATTCAGGCAGCCACGGAGGCGCGAAAGCAAGGCGAGGAGGCATGAGAAAGGTTCGCCAGATCGTTGCGCCCCGAAGTCACGCAAGCACGGATGGAATCACACGTGCGAGGTGACAAGGAGGAGGCGACCTGGATCGAGAGGCCGCTCTGAGGTTTTTTTGGGGGCAGTGTGTTCGGGCACGGCGCGGCCACGGACCCAGAGGAGGAGGTATTGAGGAGAGCAGGCTGGGCGATATCCATTGCAGTGAGGGCAGGCAGGTGCTGGGAGCTGCATGCGGCACCGCGCCGACGGCGTGGGCCCCGACGCAGCTGGCCAGGGACGGCGAGGACTGCGCCTTCCACTTCCTGGCGGGGCGTGCGCGGGCCCCGCTGGAGGTGTTCAGCGACAGCGCGGGTTCCACCATGCAGGCGACGCACATGGGCAAGGCGCTGGCCAAAGGAGCTGAGGGGAGGCACTTCTGGAAGAAGCGGTGGCAGGAGCTTGGAGGGCACCAACAGGTGCACGCCGCCAAGGCGAAGGCGCACAGGCCCAAGGCGGAGTGCATCAACGAGAC